TCTCTTAAAGAGTTTCATTTTATGTTTTGAGTGCTTATTAGTTATATATTTAGATGTGATACATTGTGACTAATTATGTACTTTATTGGTGAAAGTTTGGATCATAAGGCTTTGATTGAATGACGAATGCATTTGCCAAGGCTAAGAATAATAAGATTGTGGCAAATAGAGGAACTGTCTCTAACAAATTGGTTTCGATCTAAGCTCTAGACCTGCATTACAAAAATCGAATCTTGTGTCTTCTTGTTCGGGCTCAAGTTTCTTGTGGTGGAAGCAAAGTGAACAGTCAAACTTCATAGAATCTTGTGTTTGCATAAAAGGCTAAAACAAAGAAAGTTAAAAGGATAAAAAAAACCAATCGGCTTGACTCATTGATCTTCCTATATTGAAGAGTGTACGGATTTCTAATTCTTTGTATCATTTATAACCTATCTTTCAATTATTGAGTGAGCCCTATTGGACCAAAGGTTATGATACCATACGAAGATATCCATGAGTTACACCTCCAAGCCAATTGGCAATTTAGTGTTATGACTAATCCTTCTTATAAACATAATCAAATCACTAAAAGTCTCCGATGTGGGATTAATTGTAACGTTTTTATAAAATTTTCTACAAGATCACATAACTAAAACCTAAATTAACTTCCATCTTAACAGGCTATTTACCTAATGTACGGCTTAATTGAGCCCAATTAGGCCCAAAGTAAAAACAAAGCCCAAAATAAAAGAACGTATCTTTCACTTTCTCTCCAATAAAACCCTAGAAAATCCCCCTCTTCCACTGACTGCTCGTGCTCGATCAGTTCGTTTCGATTCTCCGGCGAGTGTTTCGATTCAACCGGCGAGTGTTTCTCATCAACCGGCAAGAATGTCGATGTCGAAAAGCTCGAAGATGCTTCAGTTCATCAACTACCGGATGCGAGTGACGATCCAAGACGGACGACAGCTAGTTGGGAAATTCATGGCCTTCGATCGTCACATGAATCTCGTTCTCGGTGATTGCGAGGAGTTTCGGAAATATCCTCCGGCGAAAGGTGGTAAGAAAATCAACGAAGAAAGAGAAGTTCGTCGTACTGTTGGTTTGATTTTGCTTAGAGGCGAAGAAGTGATTTCGATGACTGTCGAAGGACCACCACCACCGGAAGAATCTAGGGCTAAATCTGGATCTGGAATCGCTGTTTCTGGTCCCGGAATCGGCCGTGCTGCTGGTCGTGGTGTACCTACTGCTCCGCTTGTTCAAGCTCAGCCTGGATTATCTGGTCCAGTTCGTGGAATCGGTGGACCTTCTCCTGGGATGATGCAGCCTCAGATCTCTAGACCACCACAGATTATTCGTCCTCCAGGACAAATGCCACCTCCTCCACCTGCTTTTACCGGTCAAGGTCCTCCTCCGATGATGGGGAGAGGTGGTCTTCCTCCTCCACCTTTCGGTATGAGACCACCACCACCTCAGCAGCAGTATCCTGGTCCTCCACCGCCTCAGTATGGTGGACAAAGGCCAATGATTCCTCCACCTGGACCTGGTGGTATGATGATGAGAGGACCTCCTCCGCCTCGCCCTGGAATGCCGCCTCCTCCCGGTGGTGTTCCGGTCTATGCTCCGCCTCGTCCTGGCATGCCGCCTCCTCCTCCAAATCATAACCAGCAACAGTGATTAGGTTAGCTATCTCATGACTTAGCTGCAATGCTGATGGTTATCTTTAGCTTCTTGATGAGTGCTCTTGTTTTCAGTTTGCTTTTTCGCTCTTTTGTTATCCTAAGATCATGATCCCTTTAAAAGCTTTGTTATCATCTTATTGGCGCCTGAACAATTGCTTTCGATGTAGTAGAATAATCACAGTATGAAATCTTTAGCCTACACAAACTCTTTTATAAATTCTAATTAGACTTTTAGAAGAACTGAAAGAAAGAAAGATTTGGTGAGTCTTAAGTCTTCCTCCAAGAGTGGGTTAAGATCTTACCAAATAGTAAAACCTCTGGTCCTTGTTTATTGTTTGTTCTTGAACTTTTCCTTGGGAAGGTTGTATGTTATAGGGTTTAACTTGTGGATGCATGTTACTCTCTGTTGGCTTATGAAATTGGATAAATGTATTATCATTGTTTGAAAGATCGGCTAAAGTATAAGTTTCTCGATCTTGATTGTAGGAGTTCGAAAGTCGCATCTTGACTGAAGAGACCCATCGGTTAGTCACCAAATCCTTGACCTTTTTTCTCCCGGAGCTCGAGAATCTATTGTTTCATATTGGTGATTTCTCATGGAAAAAGAAACTGATTTTCAAAAATAGTGAATTTGTAGAAGTTATGGCATTGCTTTCTAAACTGAATGTATAAATTGACTGGCAAGTCGGATCACCACTTTAGGTTTTATGTATGCAATCAAACGACTTGTGCAAAGTCTCTTTAAGTCTATGGTTCATGCACCACCATTCTCCGCTGCACTAGTCTGCAAGGTAACAGTTCTTAATTCAGTTTCTCCTGCGATCACCACGGTGTGAATCTGTAATGCCAAAAGCAGAGGAAAGGAATCTTAAACTGACCAACTACATGCTTAACCCGACCCTTGTTTTTGAAACTATCGGAGAAACTAACCGAGTTTTGATGACGATTCCATGGTCCACAACTCCCATCAATCGTATCGAGGCTTTTCACCACTTCGGCCGCAGAATTTCGCATCGAATAATCAACCATTAAGTGACACACACACAAATTTCACTATGCGCAATGGTAAATAAAATGCTTTTACCGAGGCTTGGAATTGGAGTTGTAAACATAACATCAAGAATGTTGTGACCATCACAGGTGACTATAGGAAAGTCTCCTCCAAGAGGCCCTGCATCTCCTACAGAATCTCTTCTCCTCACCTTTTCTACATAGGCACAACGCAAAATAAAATAGGCCTTAACACAGTCGATAGAGCCGAAGCCCCAAGAAAACATTTTGCAAAAAATTATATTCGCACTGTGCATCACCTAAATACAGGTCATCAATCTCCTCGGCTATGGCCAACCAATTAAGCTGCAAAACCAATAGATTTCAAACATCTCATTTCTGGTTTTGAATCATATTGGGCTTTAAAGAGAATTTGTCGTGGAAAATTTTGCTTACGGATTGAACTAAAACTGGGATAGAACCTTCAAGGCCGGTTTTGTATTGTTCTTCATTTATCATGAAGACTGCCTCATCCGATGCTTTAAGAATAGACTGCATTGTGAATCTCTCTCTATGTAAGTGCAAAGCTAAGCAAGGAGTAGTTCATAAAAGTTGCAGAATATAGTCATCTTCTTGTGATCGTTCTCGGCGCCCAATAACTATTAACTGCGATTAAGTGGAACGAAGGTAGAGATGGAGATGAAAGGTGATTGACTCGCTCAATCAAATGGACGAACAAGTAAGTCTGAATCTCTCAAACAAACTTAATCCGCAGATCAATAGACCAAAAGTATCTCGCACACTTAGGATCTAAAGACAAAAACAAAAGAGTAAAGGAATCCACCTATGAACAAGAACACAAAGACAACTTTGTAAACTGAATATTACTTGATTGATTTCTAAAAAGATTGGTGATGTACAATGAAAGAATACAAGAGCTTATATTGTGCTCAATACATAAGAAAGCTAATGGTAATATATACCTATTCAAGGAACAAATAATCTGCATTTAAACAATATAGCCGTTGGAGAGGATTGGCTTGGCCATTTAGGAAAAATCGTGGGCTCTTGTATCTTGACAGCTTCTGGATGATTCCATGGCTTTTTAATCTGCTATTAAATGTTCAGAATAGAGCCGTTGGTCCTTGTCTTTTAATGCTCTCGGCGCCAAATAGGGAAAGTCTTGGGGGTATTGGATGAGCAAGATTGAATCCACCTGATCCAATGGCTGAGAATGAAGCATAAGGTGTTACTAAGAGGCTCTAGTTGTAGTACATACTCTCCTGAACGCCAAACATATGACTGAATACTCGCAAACCCGGAAGGTTCTACATTAGGCAAGTCTGGAATCCTCCGGTTTAAAAGTTTTATACTTTTACGTATGAACCGGGATTGACATGAATCTAATTCTCAGCGTTTCCATTTTTAATCAAGATTACATAACAAGTCGCTTTATCACTTAATTCCTCTTGGTTCGGTCGGAATCCGCCAAAGAGTGCACGTGTATCCAAATCGGGTGTATTCAGATTCACCCGGATTGAAACTTAATAACTCCTTCATCCAAACTCGTATTGGGTTGATTCCACTTCGAGGAGATTTGTAATTGAGTTAAGAATATAGTCCAAGCAGCCGTTGGATTGGACCAATTGATCTTGGACTTCGTCTGAGATTAATGATGCTCATGGGTCTTCTTGGATAGGTTGAGCATGTTTAGGCCGCAAGTTTGAGTTTGATTTCCGTCTTCTTGCATATTGAGTTGCTCTTGTATTGTCTTTACTCCTCCAATCTCTTTTCCATTAGTGTGCATCAAGCCTCTTCATTAAGGCTCGTTGTTTTAGCTTTGTTGGCTCCGGTTTGATCTTCTTAGCCTTCTCGGCTCGCTTTGGTTCCATGCTGTTTCCTCCAGGGTTAATACTTGGTTTCATGATATGGAATGTTACTTTTGGCTGTTGTTAAATTCTATGTAGACAGTTTAGAAGCTAATAATTTCAACTCTTTTTTTCCCTGAAACTATATTGACAATATAGATTCGGAAAGTACTACTACCTGATTAGACTATCTCGATCGATTGATTTATTTTCAAAGAAACATTCTCAAAAGACGTCGGACAAGGCGAGAACCGTAAAAACCTTTCAATTGCGATCAAGCATTGCATTATCCAAATTAGTGTTTCAATCTCCAAATGTAGGAAGGGAAACTCCTCAGATTTCGAGCTCCCATCATGACCTCCTCATCATCATCTTGAAAGGTATATCAACCACAAACCACAGTTCAAGTGCCCTTCCGGTTTTTTCTCTCTCTTTAGAGTTTTTTTCTTTATGTCAATGGACATAAGTGTCTTTTAGCGTCTCTCTGCAATCATCCTTTTATAGACAGACGAAGAGGAGTGACAGAGAGACGCCATTGCCATGAAGAGACACGAATTGCGATTGTGTCTCTTGAGAATTAACTACTTCTCAATTAAACCGGTTAACTAAACTGGGTCTGGTATGGGCGCAAACCGACCATAAACCAACAAGAAAGAAGAAAACTTTATAGTATTTGGAAGAATGAGGTGTAAATAAAATTAGTTTTCCGGCAAGTGGTCGCCAAACACGTCCCCTTTTGTCAATGCTCTGCTTTCTAATTTTGTTGACTTGAATGTCAAATATATTTATGTTTTTTTTCTTCAATAGACCGGACGCGTTGTGTATCTGTTGCTTTTAAAATTC